ACGCATCTGTTCGGGAATTGTGATCACAATAATTACGACACACCCAATTATTACTTGCAATAGCGTAAGATTTAAGCTCGGGACGTGTGGCGACGGCAGACGCAATGTCAACAACCTACTACCACGCCATTAAGCTCGTTTCCATCTCAGCTACGTACACCAATGGCCTCTTTCAGACCATCATTTAAAAGGTATACTGAGGGAAGAAATCTCTTGAATCTTACAAACCTACTAACATCAGTGACTAGTACTACAGTAGTCGACCAATCCAGTACGATAATATTCATCATGATCTGTGCATTGTACACTGTTAGTGATCGTTAACATGAGGCGCAAACGGTTCTAAATGAAATCAGAGGATTGAGGATTGCAAAATGTTCGTTTTAGCTGGTTTTGCGTGTTAAGTAATTTCGTGCAGGCGCAGCAGCTGACGCGTCGTCAAAAAGACTACGCTCATCAATCGTCACTACGGACAAAAAAGTTATATTTTCTAAAATCACATGCGCGGTTCATATTGAAATGGGGGATTTAATTATTCCGGAATCGCAGTGATTTGAATTACGCGCTTGTCGTAAGAGAACGAGAACTTCCAATGTTTTACACCTCGAAATGTGTCATAATTCAGGCTATATGGAAACGGTCACATTTAGTGTTATGCAACAAGTTTTGTGAGCATATGAAACACTGTCGAAGCAGCCGTGGAGTATTTCTCTCGCTCTTCAATCCGCGCTTCATTTAATTGGTACACGACAAAATCCTTTCCCTGAAATTAAATACAATCCATCACTACTTTCATGGACGGAGTAGAATGTTCCCAGCCGAAACAGAAACTAGGCGGCTAGAAGCTGGGATAAGCCATATCTGTGTTACCCGCAACCACTTCACAAAGATGGGTTGTGCTATCTCGTGTAAAGGTCAAGTGGAACACAGTCTGGTCAGCTGTGCGGTAGCCGAGTGGGTTTGGATGCTTATGTTCTACCTGTGAGATCCCCATCTGGGTCCAGAGGTTCTGTCTTTGCTGATGCGCTCGAAGAAGTTGTGCAGTGTTGTGCTTCCTCGCTCTTCGGTTCGTGCTTTTGTTTGCTCTGTACCCGACAAAATTCACAGTTGAATCAAGCCATTCGCTACTCTCGTGTAAATATATTACATTGCCTAATAGAATAAATAATAAATAGAATATAATATATGTATATATATATATATATATAATAAATATTTTGTGTTTACCACGTGGTTGTGTCAGAAGTCCACGATATGTTCAAATCCAACACGTTCACTTCAAACTTTTGTCGGGGTTTAACAATTTTCTTCAATGGACCGCGATTCCTCGCGTAAGGACCAAGCGAGACCTGACCGGTAAGGCCGAAAAGCAGAACACAATCGTTTTACTCTCGCCAAATGTTTCGTCAGCAGTGCATATTCATGGACTCAACAGTGAACGGGACCTTACAGACAGATCTCAAACACGTTGCCCATCAGACCACAGAACAACGGATCCCATTGTTACCCTTTGTCTGCTTGTCATACGTCTCTGGAAGCGTTGTGTGTGTGTGTGTGTGTGTGTGTGTGTGTAATCAGATACACACTCGTTTGTACAAAAAATCAATTTTGAGCAACGAATTCTACTTCTGTAACATGACTCAACCACGAAGTTGTAATCACACCTTGCGGTGTGTCATATGTTGCCAGTATTCACTGATCGTGAAGTTTTGTGATCAATACGCTCCGCTTGTTGTTCAGCTGCGTTCCTCAAGACTCCTCGAGGGTATCAATTTTTTTACAAATCAACTTCTTTGTGGTCGATCCGTTGAATATTTCGGTTCTTTTGCATTGGGACTCTGCACAAACATTACAAACAGAAGAGCTTTGACTTGACGTGCCTAGCTAACTTACGGTCACAGGCCTAATTCTGGAACATGCTTCCGTCGGAGTTGCTGACCGTGCTCATTGCTCACTACTTTTAGGCCACAGCTATTCACATTCAATGCCTCCATACTCTGCTCCTCATTGATCGACCAAATGGCTATTCGGTGGAGGTGGTGTAGTGGTTTAGTCGCTGCTGTCACTTTAGACCCTAAGGCCCGAGGTTCAAGCCCCACCACCACCCAACTTCAGGGGTAGGCAACTTTGTTGTCGTCCGGTTCAATACCACGCCTGACGTAGCTGGCTGGGCCTCAGGTGGTTCACAATTCTAAGTCCAGGTGCTTAGGCTGCCAGTTACCATCACTGAGCAGTAGGTCTTCATGACTATCGGATCTGCACTATCTGTCGTTCATCACACAGTGGAGTGCAATGAAAGAAAGAAATAAGAAACAACCGGAGTCGACACACTGGAGCGTAAATTTAGTATTTATGCAAACTTAACTAATGCTCTAACCGTAAATTTTTTGTGCCGAATAAGTTGCGCCTTCTCAAGCATTGTGCTTATCGATGCGTTTGAGTTTTGATTCTATCTTTAAGATAAACGTTGAAAATATAAATGCTTAGCATGTGATTTTTCACTATCCTCTCAAACCCGTTTCTTTGTTTGTCCCAACTTAGTCACACATTATGTTCCCTCTCTCTTTGTCTCACACAAACACACACAGGTTGCTTGTTCCGGACCGTTTCCCGCTCCGCCACAACTGGCCGGCCAAATTGAAATGCCACGCCTCATTACCCAGGGCACAAAGTTCGAAGGTTGCATCATCCTGTTCATGCTGCTCTACTTCTTTTCCATGGCCAGTTCCATCTGGTGGGTTGTACTGACCATCACCTGGTACCTGGCCGCGAAATGTCACTGGGCGCACGAGGCGATCTCGCGAAATGCGCAGTACTTGCATTTTGCCGCCTGGGCTATCCCGGCCGCGAAAACAATCGGGATTTTGGCATTCGGTAAAGTGGATGGGGATCCGTTGTCCGGCGTGTGTTTCACCGGTCTGACCGATCCAGTGATTCTACGCATTTTTCTGATCGCTCCACTCTGTCTCTACTTGGTGATTGGCACGGGATTCCTGTTTGCCGGTTTCGTGTCCCTGTTCAAAATTCGTACCATCATCAAAACGGGTGGTTCGAAAACAGACGATTTAGAAAAATTGATCATGCGTATCGGTGTGTTCAGTTTGCTCTATATTGTTCCGGCCATAGTTGTGATTGCTTGCTATCTGCACGAGTCTCGAATGGCCGAGAAGTGGATGCTCACTTGGTACACAACCGAGGTTTGTCGCAAAGTCGATCCGTATCAGATGACCGATTCGATTTGCCCCGGACATTTCCGACGCTTGGTCGATGCCAGCAGTCCGGATGTGGTCCCGCATCCGAGCACGGTGAATGGGGGTTCCGTCGCAGACGCACAGGCACGGGCTGAGACCATTTTGGCCCGGTGGTCTGCTTTGGAAAAACCGGAATTTGAATTATTCATGATCAAGTATCTGATGACTCTAATCGTGGGCATAACCAGTGGGATTTGGATTTGGAGTGGAAAAACTCTCCTGTCGTGGCAACGGTTTTTCGCACGATTATGTCGACGTCGTACCTGTTGCGGTCAGAAACGAGACGATGTGCAAATTGGTCCGCCCGCGATCGACAGTCGACGACATGCGCACTCAACTCTGAACCCGAATGTGTCGACCAATCCCGGTGCGGTTCCTTTGCTACAACGCAGTATGCCCTCCGGTGGTACACATGTTGGTCAGACGTTTGTATTCAGTCAAGATTCGGTCCCAGTAGGTGGTGGATGGGCTTCACGGGGAGCACCTTCAGGTGCCACCGCTCCACCCGATGGTACGGGCACGGCCACGAGTTTCGCTCCGGGCTGGATTGGACCGGGTAAACCGGTACCAAGTGCCACGGGAACAGGTCCTGGTCAGCCCGGATTGATGAATCCAAATATGGGTTTGGGATCATCAAACAATCAGTCCGGGGCACCGAATACCGGTCTCGGTCTGGTCTGAGCTTGTTCGGCACTAAATTTCCCTCAGTTTAACTTCCTGTTCATAACTCTGATCACTCACTGTCTTTTGTAATTTGTTCACGACCAGCATAGTCCGACCACCAGTTTGCTTTCCTTCTTCAGTCTTTTATTGGTTGTTGTCTTTGCACATTGCCTCCGCTGTATATAAAAAGGCTCTCGCTCGCTCTCGTTTTAGTCATTTATTGCTTTCTCGAAACCGCGTTCCCTCTGTCCCTCCACTGCACACACACACACATGCCACAACGCTTGCCTGTTCGCACTCTCGTAGAGAGCAACGCATACGCACAGGTTCGCATGGTGTTGTTGTTCATTGTCCTGAACCTCGCACTGACCCCATCAGCCCCCGCGCCGTCTGCCGGTCCTAATCAGTTTCTATTTTTTACTGCATCCCTAGCTTCTGCGTTTGTACATACCAGTGTTCACTTATTCATCCAATCATGCAAACATGCACACACACCTATATCTGTTACTGACGGGGTTACGGGAATGTACGTGTACGTTTGTACATCACTTTGACATTACATGTGCCATCCATAATCGTTACTTTCATCTCTTCTCTTGTACAGTTGAATAAACTCGGCTTTTTGAATCCAGAAATCATCATGATGTATTTATCTGCTCCACTCTACATGGTTGTTATTCTCTCTTTTCATTTTGAATGCTATCTTGTTTTTTCTCGAATCGGTTCTCACGACTCCCGTACCTTGACGGTGCTCTAATGTTCCTTCTAACTCTTTGTTTGTCTTTTAATGATTCGCCTAATTCACTTTCTCTGTTGTCCGTTTAGTTTTAAACCTTTCCATCCTATGCTTGGTTTTTCACTCCTCGCCGATCTTATGTCAGTGATGCTTTCTATCGGCCACTTTATGAACTAGCTACTTTTGTCCAACGACCGGATCTGGTTTGCCTCTTTACCATGTTCCGTCACATGCGAACTGCCTGCGTTCTTCACTTTGTCTCTTTCTCTCTCTCGCTTGAATCACGATCTCGTCTGACCAAGAACCAATCATGCATTCATTCATATTTCTTTCTGCGAACAACCAATACAGCTCTCAATCTCCTCTATCCCGTCAATGACCTGGAGAATTCCGCTTTCCTCATCGCCACCGGTCAAAAGTGCTTTGACTACTTGACTACTGCATTTCCAGATTGTTTGCTGGTCCCACGTCCGGTCCCGTGGATCTTTCGAATTTCTTTGTAAGTCCTCTCAATCTGATTTAGATACCGTTCA